TATGTTAAGTGTGTGTGTGGAAATTGTGTGCATTTATTGGACATAATGTAATGAGATGATGCAATGGGGCACTCTGACCTTTCATTCATAATGATTGTTTGATGCTGTTAATCAATTAATGTAATGATTGGTTACGTTTACTGCTGAGAAACTTACCACTGTATCTTGTATCTCTCTCTCTCTCTCTTCTCCCTTTTATTCAATGAAGTCTGGTTTATATGATGTCCTCCCTACTACTATTGGAAGGTTTGGCTCCTGAGGATTTGAGGCTTTTGCTCTGTGGGTGTCAGCAGGTTGAGCTTGATGTACTCAAAAAGATAACAACTTTCACCGACAAGACTCGTAAGTGAAAATAATACAAACAATCTAATTAGTTTTTTTACTAAGTATTGTTTGGTATTTAATGAATGAAATCCTATTTTTGTCTCTCCTCTCTCTCCCTCTCCATTCCCTCTAATTAGGTGGGAACTAGGCACTGATGACAACTTATTGACAGGCAACTATAATTTTTATTATTACTTTTTGAATGGTATTAAAACAAAAATAGTTGTTTAAACTTCCTTATATACCTCATAAATTTTGTGTTCTATTGTGCCACGCTATCTATTATGCAGATTGTTGTGAGGGTGCACACTTCAGTGTTCATTTGGACAGATGATTAGCAGTACACACATTAGTTCATAGCAATCAATAATTATTTCAGAAACACAAAACAAAATAACAGTTGTAATTTGCAAATAAGAAATCAAAAAAATTATTTCAATTTATTTATATCGGCAACAACATCATTTCTTCCTACAACTCCCAGTCCTTCTATTAATTTTTGTAGTGTAGCAGTACCAGTCTCTATCCAATGATATATCATTTCCTTACGACAGACTTGTACTTGATCACGACAATTATATTTTATTTGTTGCAACATGCATGGCTCTATATCCAACTGTGTCCCCAGAATCTCCCATTCAAACACTATTGTCCTAATAGCTTTTATTAGTAGAGGAGCATGACTCATATCTATAGGAAATTATAATAAAGACAATTATACTTGAATATTCACTCACTTAGTACTGCAGTTTCTACTGGTAATGTATCAGCAACTGATGTATCAGCAACAACTGTATCTATTAATAAAAAATGATGATACAATAATACACTATTATTGCACTTACTTTGTACAGGAGCTAAAGGTATCATAGTGGAAACTGTTGCTGATGTAGTAGATGAAACTATTAAAAATTAATTATAACAGAATGCAGCCAATGATTACTATTAATTACTTGCTGCAGTTTCTTCAAGTGGCATGTTTGTACATGCATTAGTGAGAGGAGCCGATGAGGTACATGAATCTAATAAAAAAAGATTATACCAGTATACTGATCCTTGCAGTATATCACTTACCTAGTAACCAACGACTTTGCTTCTCATTGTTCAGTAGTTCAACTGGTAAAGTTTCAACACTGCAGCCTATTACTGGAGGAGTCTCCTTGTAAGAGATGGTAATGGGATGAGGGTCACTATCATTAGCAAGTATTGTATGTTTACGAGTACAACGAGGAAGAGCAGATATCTTCAGTGCCTTCATGTCATAAGACAGGAGCTCAGCACTGGCTGATAGACACTCTAGAATCACCTGACGAAGAGTATAACAGTCTCTAGTAAGACCGGTGAAAATAATCTCAATTGATTTGAGATTATCACACAGGAATATTGATCCAAACAGATCCTCCGAGTAGAGACTAACAGCATATCGGAGCTGCTGGGGAAAATTTTTTGAACGACTATCAATAAAGAAATAAGGCTTTTCCTTCCGACTCAATAAAGAGACAATCAATGTAGGAAACAGACCCTGTAGAGAAAGAGAGAGACAGTAATACAATACAAATACATTGTCAGTGCATTACCTGTAGTACTAGTTTACTGTTGAATGTAATGACCAGTGGGTCACATTTTGCAGTGAAGGCCTTCTTCTGTTCTTCACTCATTCTTTCAGGAGGTAACACTATAGGCATAAAGAACCGTTGAACGGTAGAATCAGAGCCTTTGATTGGTGAAACAACAAAGAGATACTGCAACAAGAGGAGGAAATCACGTGGAGTGAAGAGTGACTTTACAAAAGGAAGACCAAGGTCATCAAATATAGATTCCTCAAAGACTCCGTCTCTTTGTAGCATTAGTTGAGTATCGGGTGAGAGGGACACTCCCTTTGGTAGAATGAGCCTC